GCCATGCGGCGCGGCGGCAGCAGCGGGGCGCTTGCTTCTGACGCGCGGTCGGCTGCGGCGCAGCAACCAGAGGGCGGGGCCACCAGCGGCGGCGCCGCAGGCAGGCCGCCGCCCGGCAGGAGCGGCCTGGCGCCGCGGGCCTCGTCGAGCAGTGGTGGCGGGCCGCCGCGCCAGTGACAGCTGGGCGGTTGCTGGCTATGTCCAACCCCGGGTCTTTCCCTTGCCAGCTTTGAAGCTATGACTTTGTCTCCGCTTCGGTTTGTAGTTCCTTGATGCGTTGCTGCAATCCATATAGAAAGGTCCTTCGCAACCCTGATATAGTTGCAAGCAACAGAGTCTGCGCCCACTGCTTCCCCACTGCTTTCCTGCGTTCTTTGGGCGAGCGTGGGTTTGGCGATTTAGAAGCCGCACCACCGGGGCCCGCAGGTGCCGCTGCCTTTGAGCCTCCCCACTGCTTCCCATCGGCACTGCATGGATGCTGTCACAGCACTCAAGCTATGAGAGCCTTGCCACGACCGCGCTGCACTGTCCGCTGTAACACAGCGCTACTTTGTCTTTTTCGTCTTTCAGTCCCACCCACCATCCGCCATCCCTGCTGCTTTTGCTTTGACCGAAACGCAGCGGAGCCAGCACGCGCCACATGCAAGCAAAACGTGCGGGAGAATGGTGGGCGCTTGTGCAGCGCCTCGGGGTGTCGGCTGATGACGTCATCACGCGTCAAACAGCAGCGCCTGCAGCAGCGGCACCACCCTGATCTCCCCTAGGTCCTCCACCGCCTCTGTCAGCTCCTCCGGGCTGGCCGCAGCCAGTATCAGATCGCGCCTGCGGCGGGGCGGCGCCGTCAGAAGCAGTGGGGACACGTGGTCGGCGCCATCACAGCCCAGCCGTCAGAATATCTCCCGGCGGCGGAGTGCTGGCAAACCCAGGATCGTCCGAATTCACCCCGGTTTGCCGGGTGCGTGCAGCGGTGAGCCAAGAAACGGGGGGATAGCTCCCATCTTTGCCGCACCGTACACACTGCTTGGAGCCGAGCCCCAGCCCCCCCTTTCCCCCCTGCGTGCCTGAACGTCACCACGGCCACGGCGAGCAGCGGCAGCGGCAGCAGCGAGTCGAAGCCGATGACGCGGTCCCACAGAAGCAGCGTCTCGCCGGGCGAGAGGTACCCCGCAAACGCAGAGAACATCCTGTGGCGGCAGGGTCACAGGTGTGCAGCATCAGCACACTTTTTCCCGCCAGACTTCTGCCAGAAGGGTTTGCTAAACCCGTGGCTGCGCGTGCTCTGGAGTTGGTGGCTGCCCCAGCGCCCACGGGCGGCAGGAGGCCCGGGCTGCAGGCGAGCACAGGGTGGGGCGGGGCGAGCGCTGCCGCATCCGCAGAGGCCACGCGGAGGTGGCAGGTGAGAGGATGGGAAGGGAGATTTATTGGGCCGAGGCCGCCTCCGACCCAGGCCCCACCAAGGGAAGGCGACCTCCAAGGGTGGCAGCCCTATCTTCTCCAGGTGGCGCGCCACCGCCGGGTCAAGCTCCTGCAGCCGGGCGCAGGCGGCGTGAGGCGTGAGGCGGCGAGTAGCAAGGTTGGCACCGGCGTGTGAGATTGAGGCGGCGGAGTGGGGGTCGGACCCAAGTCTGGATGTGGCATGCATTTAAGCGCCCTGCAAAGTGGCACAGCCCGTCGTCAGTGATGAACGTACTTGATGCGGGGGCAGAAGCTCATAAAATCAAGCGTCGCGCGGCGTGGGGCCTGCCACGGCGCGCACACCCCAAATCAGGCTCTAAATGCTGACCCAATACCGTTTGCAAAATGACAGCTCCTCACCACTAGAAGATCTGTGAAAGTCCTGCACAGCACCGCCATGCCCGCCGCCGGCGCGCCCGCCGCGCCGAGCCCGTGCAGCCCGCACCAGTGGCGGCAGTACAGCGCTGCAAACACGCGGTACGCCGCGGCGGGGCTGCTGTACAGGAACGCGAGGGGGGCCGCCAGCGCGGCGAGGCCGCAGAAGGGCAGCACGCCGCTGGGTGGGTAGGCGTGCAGGCGGCCGCCACGGCCCTCCATAGCAAGCCTGGGGGGTGGGGCAGGGCGGCGACGGTTTGTGAGGACGTCAGATTGGCGTACGCCCAGAACACCAGCGCGACTTCCCTGCCCCCAACTCAGAACTTTGCCGAGTGAAGGTGCGAACACATACGGTAACTGAACCCTTGTCACATACACACAAACACACACACACACACACACACAACAAACACACACACACACACACAACAAACACACACACACACACGCACGCACACACCTCACAGCCTACCTCGGCAGCGGCGCCCCCCGGGCGTTGCGGCAGATGCTGGCGTCGCGGCTGAACGCCAGGAGGATGGCCCTGCGTGTAACATGACCGTGCAAGCGCACATGCCAGTGCATGCAGATGCACGTGTCAGTCGACGTCGGGCGCCGACGCGACGCGCCCGCCGGCCGAGGCCGCCCGACGGTCTGCAGTCATGCGGAGCAGGCTCGAGCCCGTAACCCTGGGTGCAGCCGGCGCGCCTGATCGCGTCCGCGAAGAGGAAGTAGTGCTCGCTGGCCGCCACTGCGGCCGTGTCGCCGCATGTCAGCGCGTCCACCAGCAGCTGCTGCCGCTCCACCCCCTCGCACAACACCCTGAGCACGTCCTCATCACGCCTGCTCGCCAGGTAGCACCCCGCCGCAGGCCTCGCAACCCCGGCGGCCTCAGGCTGTGGCTGCGGCGGCTGCGGCGGCAGGCCCAGCGCGCATGCCCAGGCCGCCGGCCGCGCGCTGGGCGGCAGGCCGGTGCGGGCGGCGCGGGCGCAGGCGGCTGACGAGGCGGAGGCGAGGACGCGCTGGGCCTGCGATATCTGCTGCTCCCTGAACCAGGGGTGCAGGACGTCGTCCAAGCCGACCTGCACAATGGGTGTGTGGCGCGACGCCGTGGCGGAGGGTGGGGGCGTGGGCGAGGGGTCCTGGGTGGGGGAGGGGAAGGGTGAGGACTGGCTGCAGGCCATTTGAGAGGAGATTATGGTGCCAGCCGTCTGATGAGTACTGTGTCGTCCGCCTGCTGCCAGGCAATCTCGCAGCAAGCATGGGTGGGCGTGCAGTGTGCCATGTGCCGCATGCGCACATGCACGCGCATGCGTGACTGCGAGCGCATGTGCGTGTGGGCATGTGGGGTCATGCGCCTTGGGATCTGAGGCAACATTGTGCGGTTGCAGGTATACTGCCATTTCAAGTTGACTCGTATTCGGAGGCACTCGCGCACCTGTCTCTTGTCCGCCCGCAAGTCGGCAAAAAACGACTGCAGCCACTCCCGGCTGGGCGCGCGCACGCACCACAGTAGCGACCCGTTGGGCCCCGCCCCCGCCGCCAACCACCTGCGCGTCGACGCGTCAATGCCCCCGCCGCTCGTGTCAAGACCGCCGCCGTCGTCGTCGCTCCCGCTGCTGCTGCCGTCGCCTGCGCCGCCTCTCCGCCGCCCGCCGGCCCGGCGCTGCCGCCGCCGCTCCTGCGTAGAGCTCGCCTGTCCATCAAGCCAGCCGCCGCTCTGCCTCTCCCCGTGTGCGCCTGTTGCGCCCGCTCCCGCCCCGCCAGCTGCTGGATCTGGTGGCGTTGCGATCGCCGCGAGCAGATCTGAGCTGTCGTACAGCAGTTTGAACGCGCCACCTCCAAGCTCCTGCACCTCCCCGGTGAAGGGCGAAGCAGCGCTGCCTATGCGCTCCCATGCCTCGTGCAGGCCGGCGGCTCGCGCTAGGGTGGGCCGTAAAAGGGGTGTCAGATTACAAGAGCCTGCTGTAGTTCACCACTGGGCTGGGAGAGGCTGCCCTCACAGCAGGCAAACCACACCGATTGTGCGGTGTGTTGAGCACAGCTCAATTTTATATGGCATTGCACCCATGCATCCACGCGTGCATGTATGCATGCATGCATGCATGCAAGCATGCGTGTTCGCTGCTTGGCTGGTTTGTGGGGCACGAAGACGGCGCCAGCACCCGCGATTTGCGGCATGGCCAAATCCGCGTGTACCGCCTGCACAGGTCCACCCACCAAGCCTCACCTTGCTCCCGCAGCTCTTGGACCTCCTCCTCGCCCCGCGGCGCCGCAGCCACCTGCAACTCCGGCAGCAGCGCCTGCGCCGCCCGCAGCCGGCGCCCGATCAGCCGCAGCCACCGCGCCCGCGCGCCTGCAAGCACGGCCGCTGTGGCGCCCGATGCGGCGTCGCGCGCCTGCGCCGCATCGGCGCCCCGGGTCAGCAGACCAAGGAGACATTGCTGACAGTCACACAGTACTCAGCCTCCGACGGCCCATCCTCTGCATGGAACGTGCTGACGTAGCAGCGCGACCCCTTGCAACTTGTCACCCCCCCCCAAGATTGCGCCCTCAGGCGCCGCATTGCTCGCTGCAAATGGCGCCAAACGGGCAGCCGGTGCGCCGCACCTCTGCACCCGCAGGCTGCGGGTCGCAGCACAGCTGCAGGATCTGGGGCGCCGCAGAAATCTCGCCAGGCAGTCGCTGCGCTGCCGCATGTGCTGCATTGCGCACCAAATTCGCTGCCGGACTGGCGTCTGCAACGGCCTGGATCGCTGCAGCCACGTCGACGGCGCCGCACGTCGCGAGAATTTCAGCCTTGCCATAGTGACGGCGTCGTAGCGTTGTGAATGCGAGCGTCAAGACCAGCGTAGCGTGGTGGTCGCGTGAACGCCGCGCAGCATCAGCATTTGCAGCAATTTGGCGGGACAATGCTGATACGCACCTTGAGCGCAGACCTGATGGCTGGCAGCTCTCTTAACTGCTGCAGAAGTCTGTATACAGTTGTTGTCTCCGCGTCTGTCATTACTACCGGTATGGATCGGTCGTAACCCGTATCTAGATCTACAGGCTGTTTTGTACGAAACACACAAAGTCGGAGTCGTTCTGACACGCATATGCCCTGCACCTCTGTCGTTGCTCTTCATTCGGGCCCTCTGCTGCGAATGCTTGAGTCACTTGACGTGTCACCCGCGACATTACGTCACCCTTTCGCTTGGCAAGGTTTGACTGATGGTTCAGTGCAGGTGTTGAGAAGCGGCTGTGCTGAAAAGCAACGCTCACCTGAAGACATGATCACGGCATGAGCAGCTGCGGCCAGTGCGGCCAGAGAGGCGACACTCGCATTGCCAAGCGGCGCTTGCAGTAGCGCAAGCTGCGCCTTGCACAAGAAGGCGTGAGGAGGGGCAGGCTGCGCGGCTGCGCTGGCTGGGGTGTTGGACAGGAAGGCGGGGCCCGCAGCATCTCCAAATGGGCAGGAACGTGGCGTCAAGGCGGCGGCATCGCTCCTTATTGCAGTGGCGTCCCGCACACGCCCTGCAGCGCAGTGCCGTGAGCCGTGTTGAGCGCAGTGAATGACGGGCAGCGCCATTGCATGCTGATCACACAGGGTGTGTGTCGCAACACAGCCACTGTCGTTGCATGATGCAGCTTGTGGCGCAGATCCAGATGAAAGCCTCCCAGTTGTGCATGGCAGCTTTGTGTCTGCCTGCGCAACAGACCATGCACCAGTGGTGAAGCCTGATTTGTGTTGAGAATGAAATACTCTGACACACATCCCTGCAGGACTTAGTGCTGACATTGCACCAGCGGGTGAGGGACGCACATAAATCACCAAGGCAATGCTTGCAGCAGCTGTGGCCGACACAAGTGTGGAGGGCGCTTCAGACGCTTCAGGCGCTGCCAGAAAGCAAGTAATGTTTTCAATGAAGCACGCAGTGCTGATTGATGATTCTGGGCAATTTTGCAAATGAAAATCAATGTACGGAACAACGTTCACCAGGTCATACTGCAATACGGTTCCACCTGCGTGTGGGGGTTGGGCAGTGGGATCGCGAATACTCAGGGTGTGCGGCTGGCACCACTAGAAAGTGCAGTGTCAGCTCAGCCAAGTAAGGCAATACTACACGTGCTGTGGCTGTGTCACTTCCAGGCCACCCACTGCATGATGGTGCCGGCCTGGTGCCGGCGCTCACCGTGGGCACACCAGGCGCCAGCAATGCCTGCACTGACCGTGGCAGGTGGCCCCCAGTAAAGGACTGATAAGCACGCGGTTTTTGGGGTTGTAGGGTCACTGGCCACCATTTCGCAAGCCTCAGCCACCGCTGAGGTGCCGAATCGTACTGTGATGTTATCGAATTTCGGTACCCGCTCATGGCATCTGTCGGCGACGTTTGGCATCTTTGCGACCAGCCACTACCAATCTTTTCAACACGTGCCTATCCACATTTCCTTGTCAACCTCGCCGCCAGACGAGCTAGGGTGTCGGAGCAGCCATGCGTCGCCCCGCCATTGTTGTCATCCTGTTGGCGGCTGCTACCGCAGCCGCCGCGGCTGCCGCGGACCCCGTATGCCTTGACATTGGTGAGATCTGGTGAAGTTAGTGCCGTGCACACAGTTTAAGGGACCCCACAGGCGCTGCACGCTCCGCAGCCGATATCCGCGCAGCCGTACCACCTTGTCACTTCCACCGACATGATGCACCACGCGACCCCGCTCACCGCGCCCCAGCCCACCCCACCCCAACGGACCCACCGCAAACCGACTAGAACCACCACACTGACACAGAAGCCCTCACATTTCCCATTATGTACTCCACCTCGCACTCTCAGCCTGGAACACGCTCGCCCGCTCGGGCCTGCCCTACGGCTCCGGGGTCTGGGGGGCCGCCACGGCCAAGGACGGCAAGAAGGTCCTGGAGGTGGTCGCCAGCACCAGCGCGATCCCTTCCATCGCAACCTCCGAGCTGTCCTTCAACCCCATCGGCGCTGTGCCCGCCACCTGGGCGGCGCCCACGGTGCGCGCTTCTCGACAGCAACTGCAAACTACCGGCCGTAGCGGGTTTGGTGAAGATAAGCGGAGCGAGCTCTGCAGCATCGCACCAGCTAGGCAAGAAAAGCATGCCAGATACAAGCTAGTACAGCCGGCACGCACGACCAACACACTTCGGTCTCTGGGTTGATCACGCTTGCACCTATCTGTCCCTCGCGGCGAGCCAACAGCGGCCCAGTCATTTGCTGGCATCTGCAGGAGCTGTAGGTATCTCCAGTTTGTGCTGTGCCCTCCACGCCCACTGGGTGAGCAGTGGCACTGCTCACCTGCAAATGCCTGACACCCCCCCCCCCCAAATCCATGCACTGCCCGAGCAGGGGTTCAAGGCGACCGCGCTGAACAGCGTCTCTCCTGACTTCATCTCGTTCCACACGAAGAACGGCAAGACCTTCGCTTTCAACCACTTTGAGTGAGCAAGCCTTCTACTGCTCGGGAGCAGGCCCTGTCGCTGCTTTGTCCCCGCATCTCTTGGCCATTGGTCCCCTCCCCGCCGCGCCCTCCCCGCCGCGTCCCTCAGGTTGCCTCAGACGCCTTACGCAGCACACGACTAAGCCACCAAAAACCCATCATCATAACTGTACCCAACCAGGTACCCCCAGCCCAGCAAGATGTATGTGTCAGAGCTGTCCAAGCCTGACGCTAAGGGCAAGATCACTGTGGTCAACACCAAGCCCCTCGACGACACCAAGGTGAGTAGGCCGGCACGCCCATAATGAAACGCGTGAACACAGCTGCCTGCAAGCAGTCACGTGCTGATCAAGCGTCCGCATCCAGTGCTTCTTTGGTGCCACTTTTTCTTGCACCCACCTGCAAGCTTGCAAAAGGCAATCGGTCGCTCAATCACAGCTGCCCACGGCCTGACTCGCATCCAACAACCTTTCACACCTGACACTCCCTGCAACCCTACAGGACGACGGTCTCATCTTCATGTGCAGTGGGACAATGTGAGTCTCACCCACAGGCTGGCGTAGGAGCCATCACATTGCACCACGCCCCGCGGTCTTGACGCCAAGCACTTGTCTGGTCAGGGTGTGGGGGGGCTGCTCGCCCAGCTTGTCCGATCGCGCCCACCAATGCTGGCTCCCTTTCCTTGAGTGCCGCCTGCTGCTGTGCGGCTTCTCACAATGATCATATGCCTGCAACCCTCGCAGGACTCCCTGGGGCTCGCACCTGGGGTGAGTTGGCTGGGGCTTGCATTGCGAGCTTGCGCTCCTTGAACTGCATGGAACGGCCTACGCGCAGCCATTATGGTTTGTCTTGTTATAGCTGCTCAGTTGTGCATACCTGGGGACACGCACGCCAAGGCCCGATGAGACAAATAATAATGCCCAGCTGGTTTCAACCAGTCATCCAGCTTGACGAGCGGCACTTGTCTCTCACCGTGCCCCCCACAGTGGCGAGGAGTACGCCCCTGACTGCCGCCTGTACGAGCAGACGTTTGCCAAGTGTGTCACCCCCTCTGAGGCCACCCAGTGCGGCATGGCCGCCGGCGACAGCCTCAGTACTCTGAACCTCGTGGAGTTTGCCAGGTGGGGGCACATAGTGGGGCAGCTGCTTGTGCGAAATGAATGACACGGCTGGTAGGGTGAATGTCTGGAACTCATGTCGCACAGGTAGAAGGCTGACAATCACTTGCGCCACAACTTGCTGCACGTGATGTTGCCGTCTGCGCCCGCAACAAACCTCTCGCAGGTACTACGGCCTCTACAGCGCCGTTGCCAAGTGAGTCTCGAAGGGCACTCGTGAGATAGCAGTGTTGGTTCAACCACATCGCAGACTCGCTTTTGACCTTCCTCCTTACCATGGGCACACAGCAAGGTCCTGCTCCCATGTGACAAGCACAAGCGCGGCCCCTGAATCTCCAACCACGCACCCAAGACGCCTCCATACATGCAGGCCCAGACACCCAATCCAACCTTAATGTGCTCCACGCACCCCCTGTCAAACCCCATGCGAGCAGGTACAACCTTGCCTCCGTCGACATCCTGAACAACCAGGCTGCTCATGACAAGTTTGTTGAGCTTTACAAGTGCTACAACTGTGGGTGTAGCATGACGGACATGCGCATTGGGGAGAAATATGATACATAACGTGAACTGCAGCAGCTGCAATTTGCGTCGCAGCATGCACGGCTTGCCTTCCAAATGGCGCACACCAGGCCGGCAGTATGTCTTGCAACTGCACCCTGTCCAGGAGTGTCCCGCGTGTGAATGGTCCCGCTGGCCAGCCACGAAACCCTCCACCCTGTGGTCTGACTTGTCGCTTGCACACCTGCTGCCCTTGTTGCACGCAGATGGTTCCAGCCCTGAGGCCAAGCTGGTCAGCTCTACAGGCACCACCTCCCTCACGAAGTGGCGTACTCTGGGCCGCATGTCCCATGAGACAGCGCTGGTGCGTATGCGTGGAAATGAAGTGTTGTGTGACGGGGTTGGCTCTGTAAAGAGATCTGGCCCTCTATGGGGCATGCTGGGCGTCTGTTTTTGGTGTGGTGGTCACATTTGGACGCCGCACAGGCTCGGATCTGTGTACAGGGCCTCACCCTCACAGGTTGTGTGTGAACGCGTGCGCCATTGAGAGTGTTATGGAATGCGTGAGTGAGGCGTGCAACTGGGTTTGGACAAGATGCGCGCCGAGGTTGGCTGTGAACATTCACGAAGGTTTGCTGCCTTGTTACACCTCTGTGCAAGATGGTGCACCCCACAGGGAGGCCCTAACCTGCATGTGCACCATCGTCCCTGCACAAAACTCACTCCCCTGTGTTGTCCCCTTTCATGACTGCCACACATTTTCAGGTGATGCCTGACAGGAAGACTGTCTACTCCACGGACGACCACCCCAACGGCGGTAAGTCACATTTGGGTTACTGCTTTGCATCAATATACACTGCCAGTCGCTCCCTTGGCAAAGTCTGGTCCAAGCAAGGCGAATGTGCTCAGTATCACTGGCCTCACAAAAGCACGTTTGCTCCATGACTGGGACTGGACCTTGCAAGCCGCTAGGCTGATTGAGTGTGTGCATATCGTGTGCATCACCCAACTCAGTGTGGCTCAAGTTTGTGGCCGACAAGAAGCAGAAGCTGGACTCTGGCTCCCTGTACGCCGCCAAGCTCAAGAGCCAGCGCGTGGAGAACGGCAAGCCCACCTGGGACCTGGAGTGGATCCTGCTGGGCAAGGGTGGGTGTGCTGTAGTGTGTGTGTGTGTGTGTGTGTGTGTGTGTGTGTGTGTGTGTGTGTGTGTGTGTGCATGGGCACGGGTACATGTGCTTGTCAGGGTGAGAGTTCACACGCATGGTGGGGAGCGTGTGGGCCCGACGGAGTGGGGTGGGACAAGCCCCGGCATATTTGCCTTGCAAATTAAGCCGCGATCCCCCACCCGACAGGCAACCAGGCGGCCCTTGAAACCATCGCCGAATCCAACATGAAGTTCAGCGACATTTTTGAGGTGAGAATGTTGGACCATTCGCGTGCCGCACCTGGGTCTGCATGCAAACCTTGGGGTCGCCCATCCCAATACACCCATGAACAGCTGGTCAGCTGCTGTGGCATTGTTGTGGCCTCTCATCTGCACACGTCAGCTGTGCTTGATGGGCTCGGACACGCTTTGCCGAGAACTGCCAGCTATGGATCCAATCCTCGTCCTTCCTTTTGCACCTGTACCAGTTGAGATGCAGCCACGTCGCCCTCAAACTTTGTGGTATCATGTCAAACCCCACACATCCCCAGGTCGCCACCCCTACCGGCTCACCGCCCGCTTGCCCCACGGGCTTTACGGCAGCCGCCACAGCCATCAACTTCGCCCGCGTCACCGTCAACAGCACTAACTACTTCATTGAGTGCCTCAAGGTGGGTTGAGGCAGGACCCTGTGCATCTGACCCTATCCCAATGCACCTTACTCCATGCGTATTACTGTGTTTCCTTGCACCACACCCTTCCACTGCCATGTCAATGACAGGCCGGCAATTCTACCTGCTGTCCCCCTCTTGTACCTTGCACTGCACCCTAGGGTCGCACCCCTAGGGGTGCACCCCAAGAGCACCCCTTGTGCTCCCTATTTCTCTCCCTTGCCTTGACGGGACAAGCAGAGAGTTTCGTGTCCCCTGTTGCACAGTGTCACATTCTTTCTAAACTCGCGCGCACCAAAAGTTTCATCCACACCACATCGCACACACACACACACACACACCCGTGCGCGTATGTGTGTAAACTCACATGCACCCACTAGCCCCCCCCCAACACACACACACACACACACACACGCGCGCGCTCTCTCTCTCTCTGTCTCTCTCTCTCTCTCTCTCTCTCTCTCTCTCTCTCTCTCTCTCTC